CGTTGGGGGGGGAAATGTCCCCTTCCCAGCAGGGAGGATGGGGGGACTCGGTGACACGGGGGGATGGTGACGGGGGGGGGGGGGGGGGTTGTACTGTCTGGGGTTGGTGTTGTGTGTGTGTGTGGTGTGTCCCCCCCCCGACTGACGCCACGTGCTCCCCCAGGGACCCCGACAGCGTGGTGCTGTGCGTCTTGGCCACCGACGAGGAGGACGAGGGGGACATCGCCCTCCAGATCCACTTCACCCTCATCCAGGCTTTTTGCTGCGACAACGACATCCACATCCTGCGCGTCTCGGGGATGCAGCGTTTGGCCACCATCCTGGGCGAGCCCGAGCCCCCCGCCGAGCCCCGCGACCTCCACTGCCTCTTAGTCACGGTGAGCCCCGCCGGGAGGAGGAGGAGGAGGATTGATGATGATGCACGGCCACGGCCCCCGTGATTCACGCCGGGGCCTCGTGCCAAGGGTGGCGGGGAGGGAGGGAGGGAAGGGACACGGACTCAGGGCCACGTGTCACGGTGGCACTAACTAACCCCTCGGTGGCACTAACTAACCCCTCGGTGGTTTCTGCTTTCCCCCCCCCTCCAGAACCCCCACAAAGACGCCTGGAAGAGCCAAGGGCTGGCAGAGGTGGCCAGTTACTGCGCCGAGAGCCGGGACAGGAACCAGTGGGTGCCCTACGTCTGCCTGCAGGAACGCTGAGCCCCCCCCAAAAACCCATCCCGGCTCTGCAACCTGAAGGAGGAGGAGGAGGAAGAAGAGGAGGAAAATAAATCAAAAACGGCAGGGACAAAGAAGAGAAAACGGCCAGTTGGGAGGAAAAAAACCAAAAAACCCGAACCTAAACCTACAAACACAAACCACCCACCGATTTTATGATATTATTATATTTTTTTTTGGATTTTTAACCGGAGAGGAGCCGCCCGGGCGCAGCGGTGGGCACGGGGAGGAGCCTGGCCGTGGCCGTGCCGGGGACGGTAGCCCGGTGGGATGGTGACCGGAGCGTGCCGGAGCTGTGCCGAGGAGCCCTGCTTGGTCACGGGGGGGGGAACCGTGCCGAGGAGCCCCCCCCAGGACGGGGAACCGCGGGGAAGGACGACGGAGGCTGCTTTGGTTGGAATTTTTTTTTTGTGGCATCCGCCACCGGATGGAGGCGAAGGATGGAGGAGGGACTGAGTTCTGCAAACAAACTGCTTTATTATTATTATTTTTAGGTTTTTTTATTTCTTTTGCCAAGGGATAATTTATCGCCTGCGTGAGGGACCTGCAGCACCAGCGGCGGGGGGGGTTTTTTTCCTTTTTTCTTTGCCCTCGAAGCCGCTTGGAGACCCCCCCCCCCCCCACCTTGGAATTTATTCCAGAGTTTATTCTTCTACTGATTGAACTGAAAGAGAATTATTTGCAATAAAAATGTCTGCAGTCACGGGTGTCTGCCTTCCTCTGCCTGCCCTTCCCACGGGGAGCGGGATTGGCCCCCCCCGGGTGGGTTTTGGGGTGGGGAGGCCCCCCCCCTTCTCTTGGGTACCTTTGGTGTTGCTCCCTGCCTGCCCCCCCCCACCCCGGGATCTACAGCCCAAAAAAATGGGGAGGGGAGCTCAGTGCAGGGCTGGGGCATTTCCCACCCATGCA